CCTTGTACCACTAAAATCCCGGTACTATTACAAAGCCACAGTTCGACCTTCATCTGACCCCTAGAGGTCACATTAACCTCAAACCTCAACTCATCCATTAAAAAAAATGAGGTTGACCTCAAAATAACCTTGAAAATGAGGTTCAAGGACAAATTAAAGAGCACCGTTGAAAGTTACCTGGGGTTATCCTTTTGTTTGTTTTGTTTAACCACTGAATTCGCGAGATTTTTAAGAATTCATACTTTGACCTCCAGTTGACCTCTAGGGGTTACCTCAACCTCATACCTCAATACATATCTGGACGTAAAATTTTCCGCTCTTTCCGATTCCGCCATAAAAAATAGGGGTTTCCATTTAAAAAAATGAGGTTGACCTCCAAATAACCTTGAAAATAAGGTTCAAGGTCAAATCCAAGGTTACCATCGGATTCCTCGTAAAAAGTTACTTCGAGAACAACCTTCACCCGGTTAAAAAAATAACCGGCTTAGAAAATTTCTCAGATGTATCGTTACTTTTTGGACACCCTGTATATATATATATATATAAATATTAGAACCCAAGACCTGATCAAATTAGTGCAACTGCGTAATGCAGCATTATCGACCACGACAGACGTGGCTTGCGTTTTCGCGTGCTGGAATACGCTGGTTCCAAACTGTTTTAGTTAATCTATCGTGATTTCAGTTCCAAATAATATTTTTCTAATTTACAAAGTCCTATTTAAAAGAGGAAAAGAGAGAGAAAAAAGCGAGGTATAGGCAGATCAGGGTAGACATATGACAATTTAACTGATATGAGCCGCGTCGCACATCGCCTAAAAAATAAACCAAGTGAGAAGGCTTAGGAAGAGACAGCGACGAAGAGACGACCAATACTGTCAGTTCACGCTATGTCGATATAGGAAAAAGACGTACGACTCTAATAATCGTGTCCGTCTGTAGAGACGTCAAGAGGAAGAGCATAGACTCGTGCACAGAGTCTTCGCCGAACTATCTGTTTTTTTTTTAAAGCGATACTGCTCGTTGCTATTTGGGACCTGCTCGGACGTTCGCAAGAATTTTTCCTTGATTCACCCCAGATAAAAGAAGGAAAGGCACTATTTGAGTTATTCCGTTGTGCCGCTCACTTCACCCTTTAACCCATTCGTCAACAAAGTCTGGCTCTCCGGTCTCTCTCTCTCTCTCTCTTGTTAATTCTTTCCCGTCATGGCAGAATTGCGTACGCGCTAGATTTTAAGTCCGATAGTGCTCAGCAACAAAGCCTTCACCCGCCAGCAAACCTGAGTTTCCTTTGTGTTTCGGGCAGCGGATCGAAAAGCTAAATTGCAGACGACAGGGAGTGGATTACCAAGGCGTTTATCTGCCGAGCAGTACGCTGATTTATTCACCCAATTTATATTCAGTTTATAAGTCGTTTATGCGTTCGTTTCTGTTCTTTCAAGAACACCCAATTACAAGAGAAAATATGATTGAGCGAATTAAAGAAGCTTGTACTACTATACCTAGAAATATTTTATTGAATACATTAAAGACTTGATTTGTGTATTACAGATAATGGAGAAAATTTTAAGCACTTGTTAAATAGTTAATTACAATAATTATAAAAATGATATTTCGTGTACTGTAATAGTTAATTCCGTATTGGATTGTAAGACATATACACGTTTAAATTTATCATGCCAATAAAACAGTAAATTATTGAATAAAAAAACATTTTTCATATTTTTCTTTTCAGTTTGAAATTATTATTATTATTATTCATGACATAAATAGATCTATCAAACGTCATATGTGATTTCTTATGTGTATGTGAAATTTTCCGTACAATTCAGATTCAGATACAATAATACAAGTTTCTGTTTAAAAAAAAAAAATTGGCTTTGACATGACAGTGATAAGACTGAAATTATCATTAAATACAAAGGTAAGGTCATGAAAACATGCCCCGTCTTGAATTAAATAATTTCGGCTAAACAAATTTCCGCTAAACTTTATGCTTGTCGGATTATTCAGGTAAAAAGATAAAGAAATGATTTTAGGGACCTCTACGTGAACTCTGTAGGATAAACCGGACCCCACATATGACACCTTATCTGGAAGTATAATTTCCCGCTCTATCCGAATCCAAGTCAAAAATAGATGTTCCTATTTTATAAAAAATAAGTTGACCTTCAAATAACTTTGAAAAACAAGATCAGGTTGAAGGTCACAATCAGTTGGCTCCCTTTGATCCATACAACTTTTATTTGAAGTATTTTTTCTATCATGTTTCAGAAATGGAATAATCGACCTCATAGATTACCATGGACTATCCTGTCTATAAAAAGAACAGTATAGAGATTTTCTAAGTCACTCGTGAACATCACACGGCAATGGAGATCAAGTACTTATTATTTATCTCTGAAACACAAAATACACTAACGCCTTATATTTAAATTCCATGTAAGTTTTATGTCTACCTAGTTAGCTTCTTATTAATCTACATTATCGCGGATAAATGCTATGTAGGGGTGAACTTCATTAAAGTATTCATGGTCATAGTTGATCATAAGCGGGATGAGTTCTTTATAAAAGCAGAAAGAATAGCAATGAATAGAATTCTAATGGAAATGGTCAGTATACGGCAACAATTACAAATGAGTTCCATCAGAATTGCTAATACCACAAAAGATCAGTGAGGTCAAATCCGGGAACTGGTACTAAGGCAGTTGGTATTAAAGCAAAAGAAACTGCTCAAGAACTTAGTAGAGGTCAAACATGAGATCATTGTAGGTGATATCCAATCCTTCAAACAAAGATTAAACTCCCCGATTTCCCCAAGGGTAGAGCATGAAATGCATCGGTTCATGATAGAGATACTTGCTGGTAGTAGCATTATAAAATACTCGATGAGCAGATAGTCGAGTCCGGTAATGATTATATTGAAAGTAGATGGCTCGTATCGATTCTGCATCAATTCCATAGTAGCAAATCGTGTAACCGAACTAGATGCTTACTCCATTTCCTTTATGCAGGATATATTCAGGCGCTAGCAAAATGCCAATTATACCTCCGCTAGAGCTGAGCTCAGTGTATCAACAGATATTGTATGTATTAACAAATACCTTGGGTATTTTATTGAACTTAGACGATATCAAATTGAATCCAAAGAAGATCCATCCGATCTTAGAGTGCCCTATCCTAAAAATATAAAAAAACTGAGAAGTAGTTTAGGCATAGCATTTTGGTATCAACGCTTCGTCGATGATTTTGCCTCAATCACCGAATCATTCGTTCTTTTAATAAGAAAAGCTATTTTCAATCACTGGAGTCAAGGGCAGAATCAATCACAAGAATTTATTCGTTAAACTGTGGCTAATGACACAGAGGTGAACTGAGTACCATTCTAACGTAGACAGTCGATGGAATGGAACGCATGGTGAAGTTTGCCCACTCTAAATAAAGAGGAACGGAATTATTTCGTTCGGAATTATTTATGTTATTGGAGATAGAATGCTTGGTCGTCATCTGTTTTCCATTGAGAAGTTTAGATAGTACGTGGAAGGTTAACATTTCATGATGACAACTAATATCAGCTGTTTAGATGGCTCCAGAGTAGGAAAAACCCCACTAGTCCTTTGATCCCATGGGCGCTAAAGTTGCAGGGATACGCATTTGATGTAGAGCATCGCAAGTGATGTCTTTACGCGGTTCCCAATGCTTTATCACATATGTACAAGGAAGACGAATCCGCGATAAGCGCAGATGTATGAATTAGGAGATCACATTAGGAGATTACATTCGTATTAAAACAGAAAGTATCTGAGAACTTAAGTGCACATCTAACTTGGAAGGTTCAGGGTGGAAAAATTTATATGTACTGCCGTGACAATTAGTTTTCAGAGATTTCTGATGATTATGAGACATGGAAGCTTCTAACTTCGATAGAAGACCGAACCCAAGTACCAAGTACTGAAATACCAAATACAAAATGCCATGACATATTCCTAACTAAATACCTCGGGCGGAATAAGACGTGCGCTAAAGTAAGACTCTTTTACCACTATCACTTCTACTATCACTCCCCCCACTTGCTCTTTTTCGCAAGGAGAAGAGTATAGCTGTGATCAGCAAATGAAGTGAGCCTATGATACGCTCCATTTCCTTTGATATCCTCTGCTCTCGCCGAAGAAACTCTCGTTGGTGCGACTTAAATTGTGGTTGTTTGTGTAACAAAGTATGGTGACTAGCCGAATTAATGCATGTACGGCAAGAGCATGAGGCCCAACGCCGTGAACCCCAAAGAACTTGCCGTCTGGGCTATCGCTCTTAGAATGCCATAAAAGGAAGAAGCGCTCAATACTACACTAGGTACGCTCAGCAATTTTCGCTCACTCGTTAGTATATCGTTGCAGACAAGAATAGACATTGTTATCTGCAGCAATAATACCTGTCATAAGGAAGGTAATAACTGTTTTCCTTACGAGCGTTTTTATTGGTTTTGCGTGTGTCGCGTTTCTTTGGTAGCTCGTGGTTCGATTTTTTGTTCTGTCTCTCTTTCTCGCTCTCTCTCTCTCTCTCTCTCTCTCTCTCTCTCTCTCTCTCTCTCTCTCTTTCACTCGCCGTTGAAATCAACAAGTGCGACCGTTGTTGCTTGTATGCTCATCCATGTTAATATACCCCACTAGTCCAAGCTCGCAGTTACGAATCTAAAACAATTTAATTCATTTCTCGCCTTGCTTAGTGCATTTATACTCGTTTTCAGCTTCGCAAAACATACGCATAGTAGGACCGAACATAACAGGAGTAGATTGAAACGAAGGTTAGCCGCGTAGTTAAATAATAATTAATTTTGTTTAACAAATCGTTACAAGCACCCATATAGTTGGACTTAAACTATCCACGTAACAAAATTGAAATTAATCGTATTTTATGAAAATATAATTGTCAAATAAATGTACGAAACAACGAGTATATGTGGTTTCTATACAACAAAATTCATGGAAAATATATAATACTCACGTCAAGAATGAATTGTAGTAACAATAAAAAATTTGAATCTGGTATCATGGTTTTAAATTTGAGAGCTAATGTAAGTTCATAAACAATAACTCTTGATAAAAAGTGTTTATCTCGGTCTTTTGTGAAATTACGATAACATAAATAGCAGAGTTCTATCAATGAAGCGAAATGAACTATAGAGTTCTGTATTGCATAGCTTAACACTTTGGAAAATGGATCCAATATACCCTGAAAAATGTATAATAATATAATGTATATATATATATATAATTATTAATAAATAATATATATAATTTTATGTATATATTATATAAAACAATTAGGATTTGAGCAATCTTAATAGGATATGTGATTAAGAGAAGGAGAAAACACAAAGATTAAAAATGAACAGAGAAAAATCGAGAGAAATGACGACTTCTTTATTTATATAGTGCCTTCTAGATAGGATATCAAAATAGAATTAAGGGCTCTGCTAAGCCAACACTTGAGCGAGTGCTATACACATGCATGTATTAAATAATAAACACGAAATCATACTCATACGTACACGCCAAAACTCTCTCGTATCTCGTGCTTCATTAATGATATAGCTCCTTGTAAAAATAGCCATCGTTTTCTGTAAAGTTCGAAAATTTCGATCGCCATGGTACAACAGGCCTCTTTATACGGTTGTAAGTGAGGATACCCGCTTTGTAAGCGGAAGCAAGGGTTGTTCCCGTCCTCGAGATGTCAAGATCACTCATGGTAGATGTATTGAATTATATATTTACAGTTATTTTGTGTTAGGGGTGGTTACTACCCCTTAGGGGTAGTATCTATAAAAAAACCGAAAAACTTAATTTGTTTATTATAGATGTTTACAAATTTTTTCCAATTTTTTCAGTCATTCAAAACTTTTTTATTATATAAAATATTTTTTCGATAATTCTGTCCGCCATATTGATTCCGATATTTTGAATTTTCAAAATCTAATAACTGTAACGGTCCTATGAGCTAGTTTATTATATCACTGAATCACTGCAACCAGTCTAACGCATCTATCTGTTTATTCAAATCAATACATTAAGCGGCGTTACCTCACTGTTTACTCGATTATATTCATATAAGAGTCAAATCAAAATAAATAGCGTGACGTCACAAAGTAATAGATATAGATATAATCATTTTTGTTATTAAGAAAAATTTGTTAGTTAGAGATTATTTTAATATAACAAAGTATTTATTATATAGACTTTAGTACGTAGATTTAAAATATAATAACACAAATTGCATTTAATTATTAAATAATAATTAAATGCATAATAATTAAATGCGATCGCCCTGTTCGCCTCTCTCTCTCGCACGATGTGGCTTTGTTGCAGGTCTGATTCCTGATCGGTGGAGATGCCTGGCGTTGGAGGGATAGGTGTGAGCGGGGAGCAGAGGAGGAGAGAGAGAAATAGTGTCGCCGGCATGAGCCGCACATGTGTGCGTAGCCGGCGGCGCTCGGCCGTTTTTGAGTACCTATAGGGAGGGGCGCGTAAGAAATCGCGGAAGGCGCGGGATCGCGGTCAGTAGGGTTTCGACCGGCGACTACTTGCCAGCTATTCAAGCCTTATAATTAGAATCAGTGAGTGTTCGGGTAGTTGATTGCCATTGAACGACCATCAGTAAGAAGGAAGACCGGCTGCATCCAGAATCCCGCCTTTCGAGGATGACATCGTTTGCTCAGAGGACGCGGACTTCCGCAGCAGCGCTCCCTCCCAAGGTCAGGTACCCTTTTTGTTTCTCGGTGCGTACCTCGATTTCTCTCTCTCCTAGCATCGTATAGGCCGGACGCGGACGAGCGGTTGCGTGCGTGAACTCGCATCGCCCTCGCGGAATTCGCGAGACACGTTGTAAGGTGACGTTCTGTTTCCTGTGCGTTAATTCGCACGGAACGAACTTAGCCCGGACTCGGCCGACACACACGTCAAACGCCGAATGTATATTATTGTTGCAATAAAGAGTAAAATAGTTGAATTGATGAGTTTATTCTGTTTAAACCTGTCTCTCTTGTAATTGATTAAATTGCGATTATCTATATTACCAGACGAAATAGCCCTCGTTAAATTTTCGCGACGAAGCGAATGCGCCTTCCGAGCCTTTCCCCTTAAATAATTTGTGACGCAACGTTGTTCGGGCTTAAATTACTAACGTACGTGTTACAAACGAAAGTATTAATTTTATACTTAATAATGATAACTTTATGATTTAGGAATCTTAGATAATTAATCTAATAATTGCATTATAAGATTAGAAAAAACCGTTACAAATATGAAAAATTAGTTATAATTCAAATATTATTAACTAATTTAAATATTTCTTTTTAGAAATTACTTCCGAAATTAAGTAACTATAAAATTATATAAAAATTCAATAATTTTCTATTGTAAATATTGTAATATAACTTTAATTAACTTTATTAGTTAATAACTTTTGACGACACTATTTGCGATAATTGTATATTATATGAAATCAACAAATAACAAATTCTGTAAAGTTTACATGTGTTAAAAGCTTACTATTAATGGTTATTTACTTGTAAATTAAGAAAACTCACTTTTCAAAATTCGCGAATGTCTCTCGAATGTTCGATGACATCTCTCCTGCAAAAATAAGCGGGAAAATCTGTGTATAAATACGCCCACCTTTGCACAGGCTAGCATTCACTTCTAGCCTTGCAAGGTGAGCGCATGAGTCTGAATAAACTTGGCTAATACCTAAGTTCTTTCTCTCATTGTAATTAACTGAGGAAGACCATTCCTTCCTTATAATTCGGGCTCGACTTATAGAACATCTCGCGCTATAAGAAACTTGGGCCGAATTATATCCTATCCAAGAAAGACTTTAGCTCTGCTTATGGGACAATTCGCACCATAAGAAACTAGGGCATCGTCTGACTTTCCCTGAAACTTTGTACTTATTTTTATATATATTTGATCTATTTATTATTAATAGAGTACATTTTATTTATCTATTTATTTTATTGACAAGTAGAGTGAAATTATTAGAAACAAATTCTTACTCATTAGCTAGATACGAGCGTTCGAATTATTATTATTTATAAGTGATACGAACATCACATAATAGATCTGTAATCAGCGACCTCGAAAACCTCTGTATACAAACTTTCTACGAATTATTATGTATTGAATTACATATTTACAGTTATTTTGTGTTAGCGGTGGTTTACCCCCCTTCGGGGTAATATTTATTAAAATACCGAAAGACGTCAACTCAATTTTGTTATTATGGATGCTTTGTTACGTCCCGAGACGTAACTATTTCTTCATTTTGATTTCATCAGCAATCAATTAAAAAACGAAATAATGTATAAACGACGAACGGCATTTTTTACAAAATACAAACTCAGAGAAATTAAAAGATGAGTAGTCCGAAAATTTGGGGCGCCCGACATTTTTATTTTTTGATTACTCAACACATTAATATGGGCCAAAGAGTCAATATAAAAACAGAAGACTCGACTTTTCGGCAGTTGATTCGCGACGCGCGACTACTCAATAACATTAAAATTTGTTACAGTTCTTACGAGCTGATTCGCGACGCGCGACAGCCGAATAACGTATAATTCATTTATTGTTATTTTTTGAGAAATCATTTCTGTCTTTGAATAAATAAATAATTACTTGAATCGAGTGTTCGTGCATCATTACCGACCGACCTCATATATATTTCATCGAGATAGAGCTAAGCAGCCAATTTAACTCCAAATAATAACCCAGGTAAGTTCCTGTCACTATAATAATTACTAATAAATGAATGATCATACATATTCTAAAACTACACGTCACGGCTACGTAGTCGCGACATAACAGCTTAAACATTTTTTGATGAAATCTTTTACAGTTCTCCGGCTATCGTGTGCGCCCGCAAATAGAAGAGCTCTTTGTGCGACTATTACAAACGGTGTCACAGTACTTCTTACCTTTAACTATTTTTATCAGCGATCGCATAAACTTATAGCGTAACTTAATCATAAATGTTTAAGGAAGCCCGCGTAAATAATCCAACACATTCGTGATTTTCTTCAAGATATTAGCATTGATATTTATGCATTTAAATTTTTAAGCAAACTTTTAAATTTGATTGTGTCGACTTGTATCTTCATAATATGTTTGGTTTCACATATGTACGAGAGTGGGTCAATAAGTCCTTAGAAAAAGATAGAAAAACAAATTTTTTTGTACGTTATTTTTTATTTTCCAACATAATCTTCTTTTAGCTCGATACCCTTTTCTAGGTATCCTTCAAGTTTTTTTAACCCATCAGAAAAAAAATAATTTTGAAGGATCCTCAAGGGAATGAAAAAAGTTACAAAGGGCAAAATCTGGTAAATATGATGAATGGTATACTAATTCGAACGTCAATTCCTTAATAGTAGTCAGTGAAACTAAGCAAATGTGTACTCGTGTATTGTCTTGATGAAACAGAATTTTTTTTGTTCAAATGAGAACGATTTTCTTTTATTTTCTCGCTTAACCGGTCCAACAACGACGGATAATACTCTCCGGTGATTGTTTGTCCTTTTTCTAAATAATAGACGAAGATAATTCCACGTGAATCCCAAAAAAACTGGAGCCAAACCTTGCCAGCCGATTTCACTGTCTTCGCCTTCTTTGGAGCTGGTTGACCTTTCACAATCCACTATTTTGACTGTTTTTTTTATCTCAGGAGTGTAGTGTTGTATTCAGGTTTCGTCTACAGTTATTAATCGATGCAGAAAGTCGTCTGGATTATGGTGGATGCGCGCCAAGAGAGCCTCAGTGACCACCACTGGACTGCGTCTGTTCTCGACTGAGAGCTAACGCAGCATTCATCTTGCCGAAAATTTTTTCATGCCCGATTTCTGATACAAAATCGAAATGAATATACCTTTTGAAATCCCTGTGGCCTCAACTTTTTCATGCAATTTTATTCTTCGGTCACTCAACACCATGTCGTGGATTTTATTGATCATTTCCGGAGTGCTCACGTCTTCAGGACGGCCTGAACAATGATCATCTGCAGTCGATGTACGGCCACGTTTAAATTTATTCACCCAATTGTAAACAGTTGCAAACACAGAGAAAGATACACTATGAATTGCATCTAACTCAGCTTTGATTTCTTTCGGTGTAAGGCCGTTTAAATAGAAATGTTTTATCACCGCTCGGAACTCTCTTGTTTCCATCGTTAAGAAGAAACAA